CCAGGCAACTCTGACTTAATTGATACCAGATTTCATTTTAATACAAATTTTCCTTTGGTACTTCCTCAGTACCTCCCTATTATCTCCATGTCACAAGGTCCATGTCACAGACCCTCTATTTTCAGCCAGCTGCTCGGCTCCCCTGCCCTCCACCAGCACGTTACATAACCGCAGCCCATGCATCATTTGCATCGTGCCCCGCACATCGGCCCTTACGTGCACATCTCAGAAATCACCACCTTGTGAAATAAAACAGTGGCAGTAATTCAATTTCCCCTCAAGTGGTGGTTCCTCCTGAAATATATTTAGTGCTCAATATCTAATAAACAAATATTTTGGTTTACCTCTAGAGGGAAAAAAAAAAAAAAAGAAAGAAAGAGACTCAAGCAACTTGTTCATTCATTTCTTTCTTGCACCAGCTGATGTTGGCATTAACTCAGGAGGTCTCTTTTGTACAGCAAACATTTACAGACCTACACGGACTGCTATACTTACATGAATGGCTCAAATTATACCCATTAACCTCAGAGTTACCATCCTGTGCAAAGACTTTCTCCCCTACCCACAGACAACCAAATCTAAATGGACTAAAAGGGCTTAAAAGATGGTCTCTGAAAAAGACTTCAGCAAATCACATCCCTCGAGTTGCTCCTGGCAAAGGAGAGCAGACTTTGTGGCAGTTCAGAGCCAGAAGTACGCAGTCACAGAAAGGATGTCAGCACAGCAGCCCCCGCTCAGTTGTACCTTGAGTGCACAACGACTGCCAGCATTCAGCCTTCGATTTTCCACCCTGAGACTATTTTCTTTCCTACCACAACTTGACTTTCTTAGCTTTGCCTACCTTAAACACCATCTTAGGGAAAAGAACAAGAAGTTCAACCACACTACAAACTTCTATAAACATTTTAGCCTGTCTCCTACTCTCTACAACAGCCTCTGACAGCAATGTCACGAATACATGTTGAAGAAGCGGAGGTTACTTTAGATAGCAGTGATCAAAGCAAAGCTATAAAGACTAGTATTATAGTATTGTTTCAGTACAAGTCATGAGTTCTCATTTTTCTACCACATTCCTAAATTAAAAGACTCTCATCCAGTGCCCACTTCTGCTGCAGAGAACTGCTGAGTTGCTGAGGCCAATGCAGTGGAGGTCAATGCGCTTTGGAGTGCTCAGCACACAGGCAGCAGGACCTGCAGAGCAGCCCAAGGAGCTCCAAGGTGCTCATGGGGAAAGAAGAACAAATACAGAAGCCTTCAAGAGAAAATATGGTATTACTTTCATAGTCACGATGGCATAATGTGTATTGGTACTTGGAAAAGGCCTTGAACCAGTAAGCTAACGGCTCTAAGCTAGAAGAAAAAAAACTTGAAGTAGCACAGAATTATGGAAGCTTTCAAATAAACTCTAGAGCCAAGTCCAGTTATAGTGTCCTTCAGTGGAGCAAGGCTCCAGCTAACAAAGGCATTCTGAATTGTCACTAAATTCATCACCAAACTGGGACACAAAAACTGAACAAACAAACAAAATAAATCAAACAACCCACAACTCCGTCTGTTTTCTTCTCAGGAGGTAAGGAGGACTGTGAGAAATAATGTACCAGTAACAAGATTACTACACAGTATTACTTAACCAAATATCAAGTCACGGAAAATATGCAGAATTTTTTTTTTTTTTTTTTTTTTTTAACTTTTCTTCACAGTTTCCAAGAAAATAAAACACATATTATGAACAAAAACTCCAAAGAGAATAATTTTGGTTTTTCGCAGTAAAGCAGTCAATTCTGGTGAAAACAAACAAAAAGCAACAAAGGATGACAACCTATATTGAAAGCAAGCAGGTACCAGGAATTTCTCCTCGTCCATAGCTGAAGAACAAAAGGCTGGGGGGTCAGGGAAGCCATTGTGGGTAACAAAGCCTCAGCCTGCCTCTCGCTCTTCCAGAGCTTCTTCAGGGTTCTGAACTGCAGCACCAATCACTCAACTGCCCGTATTTCCTAATTAAATAATTCCTTTTCTGGATATTGAACAGCTTGCAGCCTCCGATTTTAAACCACCCCACATTTCACATACCAACAAGAAATAATTCTGGATGGTACAGAACTTTACAAGATCCTGAATTCCCAGCTCAGTACTACATACTCTGAGTTCTTTAAAGAGCCCTTCCCTCACAAAAAATACAGTTTTTGAAACAGAGGACAAACTCTGAAAATAAAAATTCAGCTAAAGAAACATCACAGCAACTCATCCTTGCTCCCTTTTGCACAGTTCAGTATTTCAGCAGTGAACTTCATCCTCAACAGATGAGCTTTAACAGCAGCACGGAGACCACTATGCTTATTTGCTTAACGCCCAATAAATTCGAAATTCAAACTTCTCAAAATTACACTGAATTGCATTGAAATACTGGGTGCAGGCAGAAAAAAACTTTTCAAGTATCAAACACAGAAGTGTCAAAAATCTGTTTTTAGTAAAAAGGTGGAGACACCTCAAATACATTTGACAAAGCCACTTACTTGACAGTCTATTGTACAAGAGCGCACAGGACCTCGATGCAACTGACAGAACGTGGCAAGGTGCAACCAGATGCTCCTGCAACTAACAGAACAGTTCTGCAGCAAAGGGATTTGGTTCACTTCAGAGTGCTCTATCACTGAAGGCCTGGATTATTCTGTCAGAAAGACGAAGCTCATGAGTCCCCAGAACTCCACCACCTGTGCTGGCTGCTGAACACTGCCAGATGAAAGCAATCCCTTGTTGCCTCCTTGGGACACGGACACTGAACTTCCGAAGAGAAGAGGAAGGCACTACAGAAAGCGCTCAGTGCCTGATCACCGTTTACAATTACCTGAGATGCTTCTGAACACAACCAAATTTGCACGCCAGTACACGAGGTATATGAAATGTGCAATCCCTCTGAACTTAAATGAAGTATGCTGCAGACTGCTGTATCACCATACAGACTTCTAAACACTTTTGAACCATCCTTCATGCATTCCTCCCCCATCACTACAAACTGCCACTTTCAGACTAGATGTGCAAGCACTGCTGCAGAACACTGATCTCATTTTCTGCCACTCAGCACAAAACTAAGTATTCTGGTTCAAGCGTCCTGAAAACGACTGAAATTGCTCTAACTTGGAAAACAGGCTGCTTTAATTTCTCCTACTATCCCTTTAAAGTCACACAAAAAGGTAATCTGCAGCCTGAGATCAACATCTGCGTTGTAGTTCAGGAATCAGAAGTACATTACATGAAAGGACAGCTCACATTTTCTTACTTTTGATTATAAAGTCAAAAATAAAAGTTAAAAAAGCTTATAAATATATCTGTGTATCCAGAATAATTAAATGCTATCACTACTGCAGTCTCAGCACAAACGGAAGCATTAACGTAGATTTCTGTGCTAGTCGGGCAAGAACTTCGTACCCAACACCTCTTTCACAGGGATGCCATCCCAAACATCCAGAGATACAGCACGAAGCACAAGAACTTGTCTTCAAGTAATCCCAAGAGACTTGGCAATCTGAATATTACTTATTTCAAATTAAGCACCTTTCCCTGTGACATACATGTTTTAACATGACCTTCCATTAGGAAAGAAAATACCCTTATGCTTATTTTGCCACACAACTGCCATCATCACTGAAGCTAGACATATAGGGCTATGAAATATATGGTCCACAGACTCTCCTCGGGGAGATTAAAAGTTTCTGCTCATCTGCTGTACTCAGATGAGGGGAAGATGAAAGATAAAAAGATTTCCAGTTTGGATCTTTGCAGAATCCAGTCCTCAACACACAGGCAGCATTAACAGCTGAACTCTAGCAGTGCTTCCACTGACTGATCCCAACCCTTCCACCTCCAGCCCATGTCTGCACACCACCAACCAGGAGCTCCTGAGCCAGGGATGCAGGCAGGATGCAGGCAAGCGAGCTCTTACTGAGTGCTACAGCAACTGGTCTGACTTCATGGTCTGACTGTCACGTTTTCAAACTTGCCTTAAAAATAATCTTAACATATCAAGCACGGAAATTTTTCTCTATGTAAGGCAGTACCTGAACCATTTGTTAAGGAACGCTACCAACATACAAATATTATAGAATTGTTAAGGTTAGAAAAGACCTCCAAGAGTGTGAAGCCCAACCCCTGGCCCACCACCTCCATGCCCACTATAGTGCCCTATCTTCCAACCAATGTTTTCTCATTTTCATCAATCCCTCACTGAGTAACACAGTTTGGATCACCAGTATTATGTGAAAAGTGCATAGAAATTGGAAGTCATCAATTTTTGTTGTAATTGAGTAGCATCCCTGCTGTTTCCCGTTTGACTTGCACGCATCCTGTCCATCTGATCCATAATGCATTTATTTTGGCTAGCAGAACTCAGGTCTCCTTCCCAAAAGCACCATCTGCTTTTTAACGTTCCCGTCCCGTTAAGTTGGAAAACAAGGAAGGAAAATCTTTTTTTTTTTTTTTTCTCCCTTTTTTTTTTTTGTCCGAGGAATCCGTAAGCTACAACTTAACACTAAAAAAGCCGGAGTTCACTTCTGGACACGGGACGCGGGGCGCTTCTCCCACCGCAGCGGCGCGGCCCAACATGGCTGCGTGCAGCTCCGCACCCACGGCCGCCCCGCAGCCCCGCACGGCGCAGCGCACAGCGCCCCGCGGACGCAACTTTTCGCCCCGCTCCCTCCCGGCCCCGTCCCGCCTCCCGCACAACACGAGTTTTTCGGTCTTTTTTTTTTTTTTCTTTTTCCCTTCGGTTTTTCTCCTCTCAACGACGGCGGCGGGGCCGGGCCGCCCCTCATCTCATCTCATCTCATCTCATCTCATCTCATCTCATCTCATCTCATCTCATCTCATCTCATCGCCCCTTCGCGCCCCGCCGGGCCCGGCCCGAGTGCCGAGGGCGGAACGGCCGCTCCCCGCCCCCCCGCCGCGCCGTGAGGAAAACAGGAAGCCGCCCCCCCCCCTCCCCAACGGCCCGGCCGGCACCGCACCTGCAGGGCCCAGCGGCGGCCCGGGCCCGGGCTGCCCGTCCTCCCCGAAGATCAGCCTGAAGTCGAACTCGTCGTTGGCTCCGCAGTTTGCCGTAGTCATGGGTTTGGCCGGCGAGGCGAAGCGGGACGCCGTCGCCCTGCCGGGCCGCGCCGGGCTCCGCGCCGGGCTGCGCTGTGGCCGCCGCCCCTCAGGGCCGCCTCATGGCACCGCGCGCGGCCGAGGGGAGGGGAGGGGGCGCGAGGCGGGGGGGGCGCGCGGCAGGCGGCGGCGCGAGCGGCTGCTCCGACCTCGGCGCGAGCGGCCGTGCCCGGGCGCCTTCTGTCACTCACGGGGGGGAGGGCGCCGCTACGGGCCGACGCCGGCCCCGCCCCCGCCCCGCGCGCGCCCGCCGGCCCCGCCCCCGCCCGGCGGTTCCCACACCCGCGCCCTCGCGCGGCGCCGTGCCCGTGACGTCGGCCGCACCGAGGCCGCCTCGTGACCCGCGCCGCCGAGCGGGCGGCGAAGGACGGAGGGACGTCACGCGGCGCCGGCCCCGCGCCGCTCCCCCCCGCGGGGACCGCCGGGGGATGTAGTCGGTCGCCGGGCGCGGAGGCACCGCCCAGCGGGAGCGGGCCGGCCGCGCCGAGGGGCGGGGTGCCACGTGTCGCTGCGCTCGCGCCGCAGCGGCTCCGCGGCCGGGCAGCGCCTGGGAGCTGCGGGGGGGGGGGGCGCGGACCGGCGGCGCGCCGTACGAAGAAGCGGCCCCGCGGCCGCGGAGGGGAGCGCGGGAATGCCGGAACGCCGTCGTGCGTTGTCCCGCGTCTCATGCTGGAGGAAGGAAAGGGCTGAAAGCACGTGCGGAGCCGTGGCCGTTCTTGCAGCCGGCCGGGCGGTGCCGACGCTCCCGGTGCGGGCCCGGGGTGCGCTGAGCTCGTAGGACAAAACGCCGCGCAGCCCAGCCTGTGCTGTGCAGCCGGGTTGCTCCTCAAATGGGGAAGGCAGGAGGGTTCTAGCTCTGTGCTGTCGGTACGGATGGGAACTCAAGCCCTGCTCGTACCCAGCCGTGTGGTCTTGAAGGTCAGTTATGGGGTGTTCACGGTTTTATTTGTGATAGAGGCTGATAAACTTCCGGAATTAGCCCTGCTGTGCCTTTCAGGCGTTAAGGAACCAGGCTGTGCTGCCAAGTTCTAAAATCAGTTAACTAGAACCACCGCTGTGGTCGCATGGCCATGTGAAACCAAAGGTCTGTGTGTGTTATCACCTCGTTAATCACGCCGTCTTGGGCACGAATAACAAACTGAACGTGTTTCGGTGCACAGGAGCTTCCTAAGGCTGTAATCTTCACAGAATTGTAAGGGTTGGAAGGGACCTCTGGAGCTCCCCCAGTCCAGCCCTGCTCCTGGAGCGGTTCCTGCAGCAGGCTGCATGGGAAAGCATCCAGGTGGGTTTGAGTACCTCCAGAGAAAGAGAGCCCACCGCTCTGGGCAGCCTGTGCCCTATCACCCTCACAGTAAAGAAATTCTTCCTTGTGCATATCTGGAACTTCCTGTGTTCCAGTTTGTGCCTGTCACCCCTTGTTCTGTCACTGGGCACCACTATAAAGAGTCTGGTCCCATCCATTTGACTTCCCCATCCTTTAAATATGGATAAGTATTGATGAGGTTCATCCCTCAGTTTCCTCTTCCCCAGGCAGAACAGCCCCAAAACTCTCAGCCTTTCCCCGTATGGGAGATGCTCCAGGCCCCCCATCACCTTTGAAGCTCTGCGCTGGGCTCTCCAGCAGTCCCGTCTGTCTTCTGTTATTGTTGAGGTGGATCCAAACAGACTTAGGCCAGCCCCACTCCTGTGTTATCACTGGATATTCTCTTCATAGACTGAGTAGAAGTCAGAGAAAAAAGCTGATGTGGAGAGAAGGAAGCTCAGTGATCTATGCTGAAGAATGCATGTGTTTTTCTTCCCCCTTATTGTCCTAATGCAGCATCCTTTCTGTTGCTGCTCCCCACACAGCGGTTGTTCCTTGCTATAAAATGCACGTGGGGGTTGCAGCTGCTGTTCATTCAGTGCTGAGGCCATGAGTGATGCTCCTGGTGCACCTGGGTCCCTCGTGGAGGAAGCCCAGCCCAGCCCCGCACCATGAGCTCAGCCCTGGCTGCAGCCTCCTCTGAGGCCAAGGTCACACAGCAAGGCAAGCTGGAAAAGAATGTGTAATTGGATTAAGCAAGGGTTAAAAAAAGCCCTCGTGTAGTCCTGAATGAAAAGAGGTCTACAATGAACAGTTTGGGATGATGTGGTATATATAAAATGGTTCTTAGCTATTTTTTTCTGAAAATTTTGGGGCAACCTTTCACAATTTCAAAGCAGATATATCAGAATTCATCTTATTGTTAAATAATGGCTGTGTCAGATTACAGCACGTGGAGTAACTGTAGCTGTTTCCTGTTCTGCTGTACCAGGAGATTATTCATTATGCATGTCCCTGGAGAAAAATACAACCAAATTTGTTCTCTCTGTAAGGAGCCATGTGAATGCAATCCAGGTTCCTTGATAAGATGCTCAGCATGAAGTTCTAATCAGCATGCTGAATATGTAAAATACTGCCTTGTTCCTTTAGATGCAAAACAAATCCTTTCTCTCCTGTTTGAGGCAGGTATCCAGCAACTAGTGGTAGCTGCAGGTCATCGGGGAGTGCTGTCAGTGAAAGGGAAAAAAGGCCACATGGACTTCATACCCTGAAATACAGCGGAGCAATCTGCTATCTCATGACCATTGAGCCAAGAGGAGCAACTTACAGACTTTGTAGAAAGTAAGGCTGCACTCTAAGCAGTTAATGAATGTTATTTACAATGATCTCCACAAGGCTATGTACTTCAAAGTCAGATATACCCAGCTCTTTGAGTTCAGAACTTGTGCTTCGTGCCAATCCTTTGTCTTTTCTCCACCACATTTTTCATTTCACTCTCTCTCCCCCACTGTACTACATATCCTTTATGCACTGAATTCCCCAAACCTAAAAAACCTTCAAACCTTTTCACGCAGCCAAAGAGTAATCGGGGCATAACCACGTTGGCAGCAGCCCTCAGTGCACTGACGTGGGTTTGCACCAATTTGCAGGGACCTGGGTCAGCCCCATGCTCGAGGCTGCGGCACAACCTGGTGCACACATGCTGCCCCGAGCTCAGCCAGCAGCAGAACAGGGACGACCTTCTTTCACCGTGATTTTGTGCCGCAGGAATGCTTTTCTGTACTCCTTTGTTCAGGATGCATAGGTGGTTCCTCTCCTCACTGCTTTCAGGCTGCGTTACTGCATCCAGATGGGGATACACCTTGATGTGCTCAGAAGCTGGAGTTACTGCCCGTGCCTTGGGAAGGAAAGAGCATGCTTCCTGTGGTGGTTGAATCCTTTCCAAACTGGGGCTATTTTCTAGGCGTGTTGTGACTTTCAGCTCCAAAAACCTGAGGGCTGCATTGTGCTGTGTTTTATTTTCCACGCATCATCCTATGCTGGATAGCAAGGAATTCTGAGCTGCAGCCACATCCCAGATCTGTATTTGTCTTGGAGTAGCAGGGATTCCTCCCCCTTCCTATGGGCAGCAAATCAAACCCAGCTGTGCAATTGTAGCCAGAATAGGCTCTGGAAGAAGCATGGCCAGGCATTTGTTCTGCATGATTCAATAAACCAAACAGCCTCGAATTAGGAATATAATGCATAAGGTTGTGTTTCAGATGCTTGATCTCGTTCCCTTCTGTGGTCGGATCTGGACCTGTTTAGAAGCCACACACACCAGTGTGGCAAGGAAAGGGCAGATGAGAAAGCACAGAGGAGGACTCCTGGAATCAGCAGATAGTGCTCTCTGGCTGCATCTATGGTCATGCTTTTTACAGCTAATATTGAAAAAAGCATGAGTACAGGAAAGGAGATATATGTGTGTGTGTGTGTATAAACCACTGCAAATATATCCTTAGACACTTGCATTCATTTGCAAATGGCATCCAAACAAAATAACCCAGCTTTGATTTCTCTCACAGCTCGCAACGCAAATCCATTTTTTAAGCATGCAGAAGAGTGTTATGTAGGAGAAAGATACTATTTCAGTAAGGAGGCAATGTTCAGGACAGTTAAATTCAGCAGCCATATAGAAAAGGGTCTTGCATTCTGCACACAAGGTCATAGGTTATTTATATTTAATATGTGACATCTGGCATTTTGAATAATTTCCTTGGCTAATTACCAGTGCCTGGGTGAAATGTGAAACTTCTGCCATCAGGGAATTAAAAGGAAAACAAAAACAAAAGTAGATTGCAGAGCACTGGAAAGTTTTATAGGAAAATTAGGAGTTGTCCTAATTCAGGCATCAGATAAACAGCAGGAGAAAATAGAGTAAAAGGGAGTAGTGTGACTGAACTTGGATAAATTTAAGTTTTCAGGGCAAATTTGCAGTCATCCTTTTAAGACTCACTATGCCTTGATTGTTTGATTGCAGCACTCCTACCTCACTCTCATGCTCAGCACTGAATCAATGGGGTATTTGTAATAACAGGATTTCAAAGTGGAAAGCAAGAAAGAAACGAAGAAAGAAAGGATTGCCTACAAGGTGTGTGTTGACAAAAACACACCTACATAAAAATTTAATGAGGTCATAGAGTCTCATTTAACCATTTTACAGTTTACCCCAGGACGCTTCATTGCTCCCCTAAACTTCCTGCAGTCATAGTAGTATCCTGCAGTATATTTTTCTTCTATATATATTTCACATCAAATAATCATTGCTTTGCTTTATTGTTTGTTTAACATTCTGCACACATTACTTCATAAAGTTTTCTGCTGCTTTATATTTCTGTAGTTTTACAGAGCGGGTTGGAGTCTCGTTTGGCAGTTACCATCACACACACATTAGAAAGAGCAGAGGGCCTGGAAGTCTGGCTCTCAGCTGCATGGCTCTCCTCACAGAGTTTCTGTTCACAGTATTTTTGCTTTCAGGTCATCCAGTGAAAACAAAATAAAATTACCAGCAGCATTATTACTGGAATTAAAACATAAGGTCATTCTTCCAGGCACAGGTATTTGCTCCTGAAGTGATTGCTTTCACAGGAACCTTAGAGTCTTACTACAAAACCTAAAGTGGTTTGTGAGTGAAATCAGATGGCAATTGAGATTGCTACCAGAAAAAGAACAAAATCCTTTAATGCACAGTGATGATTGCATAAGATAAATATTTGTGGAAACTCTAATGAG